TATTTACCTTGCCATTTATTCAATGTTATTTGAATGTTTTGAATATGAACTCTAAATTATGCTCGCTGTGTTTTAGAAAATGTGAAATATCTTGGCTATGATGTCTGGCTAAGGTATTTGTTCAGGATGCACCAGGTTTCACAGTATCAGCATGTAATTAAGTTTGATTATTATAAGCATTTGTTTGGGTTAACAGAAAACTTATTTGGTTACTTAATTATTGTGTGTTTCAGATACTGTTGCACATGGTGCTAAGCTGTATTTCTCTGCTGTATGTTGGTTCTATGGTAGGAATCTCTATGACCATCTAAAATATCCAATTGGTTTAATTGCAAGTAGTTGGGGTGGCACACCAATTGAGGCTTGGTCATCTCCGGATTCTTTGAAGGCATGTAATAGGACAGAAACTGACTCAAAAATCAGGTAGGCGTAACGTTTTTTTATTATTCTTTGTGCATGGTTATCCCATATTACATCTGTCCATGTAACGCCAGTATTTTCATCCTACCATACCAAATATGGAAAGATTGCACACCATTCTATGAGTATATAGTATTCATTAGATTAGATGAAACTTGGTACGTAGATATCATAGAAAATGCACAGAAGATTATGTTTAATATCTGTGCATATTAATTACCTAATGTGCATAATTGGTAATTTTTTGGCTTTTCCGCTGACATTTAAAGTACTAATCATTACATGTGGTACATATATACTCTAGGACTATGCAATAACAATTTTTTTAAATAAAAATCTGTGCATATTAATCACCTAATTTGAATGATGAGTAGAGATTTTTTGGCTTTTCCATCAATATCTCAGTAATGTTTACCTAATTTACCATCACATATTAATGAAACTTGATACATAATTAGTTTAGTGTTGAAACCTATGCATAATAATTGCTTAATTTGCATAATAATTAATCTTTTTTTTCAAAGACCAGTAAATGCATTTTAATAAGCCTTGGTATATAAATTGAAATTTGAGCATAATCTTCGCATTTCATTGAAATTTGAGCATAATCTTCACATTTCATTGAAATTTGAGCATAATCTTCACATTTCATTGAAATTTTATTCATAGATGCTTTGAGGTAATTCACAGTCGTGATTAGTTCAATAATAAAAAACATGAATATTGATTATCTAATTATTATTAGCTAATTGCTGTATCTCAAAAAATAAGATTTAAAATCAACTTGTGGTAGAAGTGCTTTGGAATAAATTAGATTGAAACTACAGATGTTAAATCAAATGTATAAACGTCAATAATGTGGATCACATTGTTTTCATGTTGTACATCACCAATAGCAGACAAATATTAGTTGCCAAGCTTCTTTTTATCATATATCTTCAATAATCTCAGCACACGGGAGTTCTTTCTAAGCTTGTTTTGATTATTAACTTTTTGTTAATTTATCCATTATCTGGCATCAATTTATACAAATTTACATTTAGAGCTAGACCATGTATATACATATATATATTTATTCATATAAACTCGTGTATCATATATGTGCTCTTTCTGGGCTAGCTTTCTTTGAATTTGAATGTTACTGACCCTAACCCTAAATCAAGCACGATTTTGTGCACAAATATCTAATATGGCTGCATGTGCATGGATCAGGGTCCACAATGATGTCAATATGTCTTTGTTTTGTTAATTATAATTGAGTTCTGTGTTACAATTACAGTTTGTCTGAGAATATGAGTGATATATTTGGATATGGTATTAGAGGGCCAACCAACCATAGTGTATTATGGAAT